TAATGGACAACACATTCGCCCGCTAAGCGAGAGATGCGGGATCAAATCCGTCCCGGGTCCAAATTTTGCCAGCATCTCAGCATTCTTGTGATAACTTCTCGGAGCGCGCACTGCGGCGTTAAACAGCAGTTATCAAAACTAAAAAAACACCTTTGAATATGATAATTATTTTTTCCTAGAGTTCGAATAGGGGAGATAGCAGGAATTCTACAAAAGAATCCTCATGTATTCAACGAAGGATCTAAAGCGTTTCAGATGTCGGGACCTAATCACTCATGGAAGACACCCCTTGGTCACCCAGGTCAGTGCTAGCATAATGTAGTGCCACATCTCCTACAGTTACTTGAGAAGAAACGTAGTTAAAAAACAGCTTTACTTAATGTACGACAACTAGTACCTTGAACTCTTCTAAGCGTTCCTTTTCATGGAACAGCTTCGGTAACTGTCCAGTTGCCTAGCCGAACGCCGAATATAGGCTCAGTCCGCTTGCGCTCTGCAGAAAAACTTACAGGCGAGCGAGCTTCACCAAAAATGTTCGGCGAGGAAGGGGCGCACACAAACAGGAAATATGGGTGTCTGGAGATAAGTCGAAGAATCCATAACAAGGCCAAACCCTCACCGACGAAACGGGACCTCCTCCGCTCATTACGATGCCCCCAACGATGCGCATAGCGCGCGCCAAAGGGGAAAAAAATCAACAATCAAAAAAATTTATCAGGAATTAACGATCCACCCCGGGAAGGACAGCCGTCGAAAAAATTCTCAGGCCAGGGACAACTCCTACTCTTCCACCCTCTTTGATGGGATTCTCCCGACACAGGGTACAGCATCGTGATGTGTGAAATGGTGGTGTAGGTACGACCCCCCCCCCCCTTTCTAGGGAAGGTCTCGGTACGACCTCCGCCCACTAGGGAAGGACCACTGTACGACCCTCCCCCCTCTTTCCCAGCACCTACCCACCACTTTCCCCCAAATTTCCACTTTTCACCCAGGATTTTCTGTCGTCGAGCGGGGGCTGAATAGGAGGCCGAGCCATGTACGCACGTAAGTTTTGGAATGCCACTTTGAACTTTGAGTCAATGCCGTTCTACGCGCCATCGAAACAGCAATGCTCGGAGTTTTCAATATCGCGCGATGATGAAGCTATTCCATCCCGTCGAAGACCAAAATCTAGGGGCCTTAACGCATCAGAAAATGTCACAAAAATGGGGTGGGTCGGGCACAGTATGGCAATCACACTTGGTCAGGTCCACACGATTTGACGAAGGCGGCTGAGATCCAACTAGGTTCTACCGGATGTCGCACAACCAGCTGTCGTTCGCTGAGCTGAAGATCAGACGGCTCAGCCTTTGAACATATGAAGTGCATCGTGCTACGCGGCTATCCTGGGAAATGCGGAGTCCACTAAGTCACTCTAGCAAGACGAAAGAGCTACTGGATATACAGGGTGACCAAAAAGTTCTGGCAATTTCGTGTTTGTGCGTTTTTGAATGGCCATTATGGTCTGTTTTCTCTCCGATGGGTTATTTGTATTCCGCAAGCCATTTCGAACTACCGTACGAGTCATCTATCCAATCACTTTCGATTTCTCCTCGCACTGTCTCGAAAAAATCAAAAAGTTGCAGTTGTTGAAAACCCATCAAAAAGTTGCAGTTGTTGAAACCCATCTTCTGGTCGGTGCTTGTTGCTTGAAGAATGTGCTCGCCACCGACGAGAAAAATTTTCGATCACAACTACCGGAATTGTTGTCTGCTCCTCAGAAAAGGTCAACAGAAGGCAACGGCTGTGAAATCCGTCGGACGCAGACTCTTTCCAGCCTCAGTCACGGTCTGAGGCGGGATCTGTGCCACCGGAAAGACCTCTCATTTCTTCATCGAGCGCATCGTAAAGATTAATGCTGTCTACTCCCAACAACGCGTTCTCCGCGATGTACTGAAGCCATGGGTGTCGTAGCACTTCGGCCCGGATGGACACGTGCTTCAGCAAGACTGGGAGCCAGCACATCCTGCCAAACCCACGAACTGCCGCTTGTGAAGAGCTGCTTCCCGATTTTGGGGCAAGGACGTTTGGCCTCCCAACTAGCATGGTCCGAACCCCATGGATTATTCCATCTGGGTCGAAAAATCTCAGGAATTCGATGCGCAACGGTTTACCACCTGAAAGTGGCGTTGCTGCGTGTTTGGGACCAAACTACAGCAGAAGAATGCGCGACCATTGTCGGACACTTTGGAAAACTAAATGTGTTGAGGCTGAAGGAGGCATTTTTGAACACTTGTTGGAACTTTGTTGTATACGGTCATTAGTACTGATTAGATGAAGACTCCCAGACGTTTAGTTGGCTGATTTCCTTTTTCGAACGGTATTTTTTATGCTACCGAAGTATTCCGAAAAATTGCCAGAACTTTTTGGTCACCCTGTATTAATGATGCTATAACTTCAACAAATCAGTGCTCAACGCGAGCGGTGACACGGAGGCTACGAAGGAAGTAGTACCGATGAGCTTCTGTACGTACCTTACAGAAGCTCGCGACGTTTCAGTGAGATAGATATTGACAAATAAGTGATTAATCCGTGACTACTCACATTGAGGAGCTCTGTGAAATATCAGGAAGGTAGGGCAGTCGTTTGATTTTGATGATACTCTCGTATATCGATGGTTGCAAGTGGCAGCTTACCTGCATTCGCAATCAAAACAGCTATCTGAACAACAATGGACAGAAATGCAACAAAAACATCAGGATATTGATATATATCGCCCTTCATGGCTTCGCAGAAATGTGAAAACGACCTTTGTTGGAAAGAAGTCTTAGCTTACAAAGAGACACCTCAGCACCTTCAAATAGACTGTAACGAAACGGCTTTCGTTAAAATTGATCGCGCTTAATGGGTACACCTTCTCGGGGTGGGAGCAGTTTTGCAGTATACCGTGTTCTGAAGACGGGTGCGTCACGGTAGGGCCACGCGGCGTCGCGCGCGACAACTGCAATACCGTATGGTTACATATGGTCGGCACGCATTCGCGATGGTTTTGTTATCGCGACAGTGACATTCCGCTGCTAAATTTTCAACAGGACAGTCTGTGTACCTCAGAAATACTACAACAAGTACAGTCTCTGAGGGTATGCTGTCCAGGAAGCATGCTGACAGTCGAATGATTAGAGAGTAAGCTAATAAGCTAGATTAAGTCGCGAATAGAATTCGTGCAGGTATTTCTGCATCATAATTCCTGAGTACTTGATCCCAGAGGATGTATGTTTCATCTGGGCTTTGGAGAGATAGTAGCCACAGAGAAGGTTACCAGCGCGTCTGTGTTAGGCGATTGTCGGTTCAGGGAGAAACGTGGGCAACGCTCCAAGACAAACTATACATTTTGGTGGACCTTGATCTCTGCCATGCGCAAGGTGAATGGGTCTGCAGCTGCAGTAGCCTGCCACCTTCTCCATTGAAAAGTGCACAGGAACGGGGCTGGAGGGTAGCATTACTTACAAGGAAAGTACCAACTTATCATGGCCATCCAGAATGAGATGTATACTCCTGCGAAAGTTGCGGACCTTTCTTCCTTCTGCGTTTAACCATTGCGGCGGGCCTCCTCCCCATACTTTGCGCATGTGAAGCAGGCCGTAGCCGTGCCTCGATGGTGCAGCAGGTAGGTGGCGGCCTCGTAGCGGTGGGACAAAGGTTCGGATCCTTGATGCATTTCGTAGTTTTGCTTTTTCTTGAAACGCATGCTAAACACTTGGAAAGTAGTTTTAGGTACCAGTTCGACCATCAGAGACCCCTCTCTGCTCCTTATTGAGCCCTAAGAACGAAGCAGTGAATGAAATGTGCAGTGAATGAAAAGATAGCGCTGATGTGCAGCCTTATTTGGGTAATATCTTGCTGTTAGTGCGGAACATTAAGCGAGCACATAAGACATCTTGATACAATATGGCGTGTTGACACGTAGGAAGAACATGTAAAAGCTCTAGAGATGAATCGCTCTGCTCTCTTTTCCTTTCACTGTTCTCTCTGCACTGTCTATCTCGAACTGCCCCAATCATCCGAAATCTGACCAGTTTTATACCGACTTTTTTCTACGTGGGTGGAATTGGCCAAAAACTTGTCTCCTGGAGTAGTTTAACCTCCGAAAGATGAATATCACATCCGCTCAGCACGAAATCTCCTGGGGCCGCGCCACAGGCGCCGGCGCCCACAAGTTCCCAAATCACCGGCGCCTGTAGCGCGGGCGTCAGGAGGTTTTGGGTCAAGCGAATGTGATTGTTCGTATTCAGGAGGTAAAGTTACCCCACACAAATTACCACACCGGTAATCCACGGCACAGTAACTGGGCACTTTAGAAAGGACGCGGTGCAGTCGTGGGACACGTACGTGCACTTTTGAGGCAGAAGAAGTGGCGCCACTGAGCTATGGCGAACTATTCAACCATTTGCGCATGGCAAAGAAGCTTTGGAAGTGCGTGTGAACAAGGTTGTTTATGCAGGGAGCGTGGCATGTAACAACAACAAAGAAACCTTTATCACCCCCTCAAGCCTGCTTCTACCAAATAGGGTCACATCTGGCACCCTGGGGGGGGGGGGGGGGGGGGGGGGGGGGGGGGGGGGGGGGGGGGGGGGGGGGGGGGGGGGGGGGGGGGGGGGGGGGGGGGGGGGGGGGGGGGGGTTTGTAGTAGTTCGCGGGCGCCCCCCGCCCGCCCCGGCGCCCGCGCCGCGCCCCCCGGCCCCGGCGCTCCGCCCGCGCCCCGAAAAAAAAAAAAAAAACAAAAAACAAAAAAAAAAAAACAAAGAGATCCCCCCCCAAATTTCAGGCCGCGGGGAGCCATTACTTGTGAGTGCTAAGCTTCAACAAGCTAAAAGTGCCTTTCGCTGTATTCAAACCGCTGCTCGGGCGATGTCGAAGAAGTGATCCTTTTGTGTAGCTAGAAGCCTTGATATCAGGACTTTTTCGTCGTTTCCAACATTGTACAGAAATGAATACCTAATGAAATGCCTACGAGCTTCTGCTCACTTGATGTCACAAAAGCGAATTACAGTAGGTGCTCCTACCATTACAGGAATAAGTAGTACGAGTTGTCCAGTGAGTTCGAATACAATCACAGCCACCGAGACAGTATGAGTAACAGCGCCACAGAACGCCGCTGCTCCTGAAAAGCTCATCTGACAAATGAAATTAGTCCTGACCACCCTTTGTAAAGAATTTTTGAAGGAAAAAGGATGTCGCTCTTCTTCTATGATTGGTTTTCGATACTGTGGACCAATGACATAACGCAGCGTCTCATTACAAACCATGACTAAACTGTCATACTCATCTACTGTTACTAGAACTCACCAACGACTGCGTAGACACCAGGATGAATCACATGGAGTAACTCCAGCTATGGTCACGGGTGGATAATACAATCGAAGAAGCTCGCCTGAAGGTGAATATTTCAACATATTGATCAAGAGGCAAAGTTTTAGCCACACTACGTGAGTTCTTTGATCATTTAATCTTCCTCAAATACCCACGGTGGATACACTAACTCTTATCGAACCTGTCATTCGGCCGAATGCTCCTCCTAGTACAAAAACTGGCATAAATATTCCAGATGGAACAGGAAGGGTAGCAGCGACTATTGATAGAATGAACTGAAAACAAAATTGTCTCTACTCAAAACTTGTTGAAAAAACAATAACGCCCTATTTTCAGATGTATATAACTCAGATGCTATGTGCTGCCCACAGAGGGGACCACTCTCTGACGAGGGGCCGTCGCATCATGTTCCGACGCAACAAGACGCGTCACACTATTTGAATCAAAGAGTGCAATGAGAAGGCTGGCATATTCAGGAGTTGATGAGGCAGGCATTGCAGTGCTTTGCCATGACGCGCCGTCGAATAACCGTACAGCACGTCAGCCGTTGAAGCAGAGTCGAGCGCGTTCGCGAGCTCGATTAGCTGCCTGCAAGGCAAGTCAGGACATGGAGAACGCGCATGACTGGCGGCACATACCATCTTCGGCTTGTAATGATTGCTATATGGACAACGAAAAAAACCTACAAACGTGACTTGAAACGCGATAAGTGAATGAAATATGCTGATTTCACCATCTGGCCCAGTCCATGAAGCGTTCACTGCCCATGGGCAAGAATACGGTTTGTCATGAATCATCCAACGAGCAAAGCGATAAAGAAATCACGCACAGTGTGTGAGTGAATGATTGCTGGAAGACTGGCTTAAGCCTTCGTAACTAACAAATTGAGATAGAATGTATAAAAAATTGGAAATAAAGCAGGTGGATGAAAAAAACAGCTTTCGATGGTGTGTTGCCTCTAGGTATCTCTGATGGCAGGAAAATGCACTCAGGAAGGATCAGGAAGGGTGTCAGATTTACTTAGAGCGAGAGGCCACTGAAAGGGGGTGGAAGGGCAAAACACTCGAAATAGTGGATGGTGGAGTGGACAGGCCGTTTGGGTGATAGTAAACTTCACCAAAGGCAGACAAAACACATCTGAAGCTGACTGACGTTCTCACAGAAGTAAGGGAGAGCAATGCAAAGGGCGTGTTGCACGGCAACACTGCTCCTTAAGGCCGTGGAATCCCAAAAGAAGGGCAGAACGGCAACCACTGCGAAAAAAAGAGCATACCTCACCGCCTAGATACTTCCCGGCGCCAAGTGGATAGGTGATTGCTGTCATAAAAAAGGATACAATTGCAGGATATAGTAGCCAGCTGAAAAACACACATTCAATGGAAGGTTTCTTGAAAGATTTCAGTATAGGAAAAACAAACTTTCAAAACAAAATTCAGTTCTAACCATCCTTCCATCCTTACAGGGGAACATTCAGGCTCACAAATGTCTCTAGCCTCAAGTAAGGTTTCATTTCTTTGTCGATTAGATTCAATGCGTACACATTGTTGAGTGAAGCTCAGAATGGTATATAGTTGTCCAGGCGTGATGAGACCGCCTCTATTTCCGGCAAAGCGCCGTAGCCGTAGAATGCTCGTCTAGATGGTCCCGGTATGATTCCAGCCTTAAACACTAAACCCCGGAACCCACCAAATTGGCCAGCAAACAAAAAACGCTGCATAACATAGGTTGAAGAATGCAAGCTAGGCCTGCCGACCTTATGTTCAGTGACTCCCAAGTACGCCTTAGTGCTGCATCGCTAGTCATTTTCTAACTGTCATATCATCCACAATCTGCCATGACTATATTAAGTACCATTACGCGATGATTTTCAATAATCCCCATAAGGGAAATAAGCGCCGTAAAAAGCATGTTATCTCTCAGAATGGTTCAGAGAAATCAGAAACGATACAAAGAAATTGAATCAGCCGAATTCTCGAGTTTATCAAAGGGTGGAGATACTGCTAGATTCTGTAATCTAAAGCAGTATCAGTCACAATATCGCAATCTGAGGGTTGCAAAGCGAAGGGAACCTGCGCCCTAGGCTCTGGTGCTAAAATATTAGGTTGTCCCAAAAGTTCGTGACATTTTTTAGATATTGCATCAAATTTTTCCGCAGCTAATTCGAGACGCAGTTATGTGGTCTTTGGAAAGTGCGTAAAGGCAGTTGCACGATGGTGTTCCTCATTGACTATAGGTAATGTAGAAGGCGCTTGATAGCGGGAAATGGCGAAAGAACGGAGTGAAGCGGTTAAAATCCTGCGAAGAAAGAGCCTCCGTTCTCAATGTGTTAGAAATCGATTTCGGACGAGTTTCCGCAGGCATACTACCATTCACCGTTACCAAAGATACGACTGCATATCGTAGTACCGTTCATGCATGGCAGCATCACGGTCGCTTCATACCAACTTCGCTTCATAATTTGCTTAGCAATGAATGAATACGAGCGTCAGGAACGGACGGTCGTTCATTTGTGGGCGGGCGGCGTGGTGGGCGTTTGGGACGTAAAGTTGTGCTTGATGGGCCGCTTAGTAAGGCGCGTCTTCGGGAGAGAACACGCTGTGCAGCGCCTGCTCAGGGTCGCCAAACTTGCTTTAAAGTATGGTCAGGCGAATGCTGCTTCTACCAGTCTCTCCCATGCGTTGCTGTCGCGACGGTAACTGAAATTCATGTTTTTCGTCACACTTCGCTATGTGAATTTCCACCGAGTCACAACCGGGTTGGAGCCACTGCATTTGTTCAGAGTCAGGTCCTGCTACATTCCATAGTACAGGTGTTGGAATGACCCGATCGCTTTCGCCTGAGTGACCTCTACTTGGGAGACAAAAGAAACCCGCCAGAAAGTCCAATCTGCCTGGACTAATGGAGCTAGTGCGTTCCTTGAAAACCACTGTACGAATTAAACGCAGCAATTAGCCTGACACATAATTCCTTAGGCCTTATAGACATGTACAAAGCAGCAAATGACAGAGGTCGTCACTCCTTCAGGAAACACTGAACGATTCGCTCAAAAATTCTCTCATGAGTTTGACGCGTTTACTCCAAGAGGCAACAGGAAATGTGGGTACTTTCTAAAACTTCTGTTCCGCTCCCACCATGCAGGCTGTTTGAACAGCGAATGTGACTGGATAAGGAGTAGGTGTTTTCTGGGTGAACCACTCCCGGAAGCGCCAGTGGATAGATCCTCCAGGAGGGGCAGAACCGGTCGTGCAATCGCCATGAACACACGCTGTACAAAGTTAAATACTGTACATGAATAGCATGTCGTGAACTCAATTCATGGGTTTTACCGGCAGGGAGTTCCTTCTTCAATCGACTGTGAATAACACAGCGAGAACCCACTGGCCGCACTGGCAAAGAAGAGAATTAAAAGGCGCTATTTTTCGACGGGGGGCATATTGTATTATAATTGCTTCCCTGGTTCCGGTTTACAAATCTCACTCTGGTAAAACTTGTGAACGCTTGTGAAGCTGGAGCAAGATCGTCTAGCCACCATCCTAAAACGTGTCAACTCGAAAAAAGGGTACCTAGATGGGTTGGCAAATCTATGAAAAGCAGAATGCCCCCCCCCCCCCGTCGATAAACAGTGCCGTCTCTGTGCCACACAGAGACGAGATCACAAATGTCTCGAGACGGCAATATTTCACCAGTAGCGCAGCCGATTTCACGTTGGATGAAATACGCGGTGACGCCCTTCCCATCTTCTGAGTATGGAGTGAATGTTCGTTCAAACGATGTGATACTACTGTTCAGAGTAGAAGCATTCCCAGGACGAAGTTTTATCAAAATTTTCTCTGAGAGAAAAAATATCAATCAAGTTCTGGCCAGTGGGATAGTGAGGGATAATTAGCGCCAAAAACGAGACAGTGCAATAACAGTGCTTGGACAGTGCCTTGAACGAATTGCCGCTCACGCGCAAATATCAATTTTTGTGGAACATCTGTAGAAACCACCAGCCGGAGGGAGAACCGGAGTTTTCCAAAAGCCGCCAGGAGTTCATCCTGGGCACACTAATGAGAGAGCGCTAGCGCAACGATCCTCAACGAGCCGTTTTTGAGAAACTTTGCCGTCGTAGGGCTCGATAAATACAATCTGTTCCCCGTTTGGCTGGATGGGAAGAAATATGCATTCAAAGCAAGTGAAAAGGAAAACATAAGCGAGAACGACTCACTATTGTTGAAGCAGGATTTTCACATACTTGTTCCTCCTCAAAAATAGAACCACAGTTCTGTGAAGAAGAATAAAGAGCGCTCCAAAAATCCCACATATCAGACTAAAAGTAATAAAAGTAGTAAACTGTTCGCACCTTTCATACGTTATCACCAACACAAACTGCACGCAGCAGAACACAAACATGACAAGTGCGAAATGAGTGAACGTCCAAAATGAGGAACTGCAGTGATTGGGACAGAAATAGCAGCATGACTCAGTTGGTCGGGTTGCCTCAGTATCCGCACGAGCGGCGCGGAAACCCATGTCTACTAAAAGTGTGTGCCAAATGCATGGCGTATCTGATAGTTCTATACTTTCTCCCTCCATGGCTGAGATCATAAGCACGTCGGGAACAAAAGTGGAAGATAACATTTCTACGAGCTGTTGCTCTGGAAGTATTATGTGTGCTGCATCCGAGAAAGCAACTGGTACACGGCGAAGAACCCTTGATCCTTGAAGGCAGAGCCCGCGTTCATATGATGTTCTCACG